ATATATATTTCTTTTTTGAAAGTTTAGTTTGTTTTGATTCAGAAACCTTTTAAAATTCTAAGTATTAACTCCCTTGAAGATGTCTGAGGGTTATATAGTCCTACAAATATATTCATCTCATGTTCATTCCCAATTTTGTATGGTGGTCACATTATTTCAGAACCTGAACACTCATAATAGGAGTTTAATAAATATTTGTCTCAGCACTTTGGGCGGGGGTTTGTTTGTTATGTTCTTTTGAGACAGGGTCTCACTACTTAGCCCAGCCTGGCCTCAAACTCATGATCCTCCAGCCTCACAGTTGCTGACATTGTGGGCAGACACTACCATGTCAGAGTTCTTTCTTGAAAGTATGGACTGACTGGAAGAGGGTACAAATGAATGTGTGACAAAATGACTATGTGTAATAAGTGCAGTTGTTCACTTCCTGTTTAGTATAGATTTCAGCACAGAATTTTGCTTTCTGCATTCAGTAAATTGAGCATTTTTGGAGACCCAGAACAATCCATAAAGCAGTGTCACTTGTCTTAAAGAGATACTAATTCTGTCATTACTCACTTAGCTATGGCCCTATATCTTAGCTAAGAGAATCCCTCCCTCCCCAGATCTAACTTCCCTACAACCCAGGATAGCTAAGTTAGTTTCTAACTAACTTGGTGGAGTTGGGTAATTGTTACCATGTTCCTTTATTAATAAAAAACCCTAACCTGCAGGATCAATATAATCACTTCTCAAATAGTTAAAGAAGCCATTTCTTATGTTTATTCCTTAATGATTTTGAGAGAAAAAACAAAGCAGTATACAAGTTGCAACATAGTCTTCTCAGTAGAGCATGTGGAAGCTTTTTAAGACTGGAAAACAAACAAAACATTCCCCAAACATTTCACCTCTTCATTTGGATGCTCTATTTGCTGAGGTGAAGAGAAGAGTGAATCAGGAGGATTGAGTCCACCATTGGCCTGCTTCTCCTACATTGCTTACCGTGTAGGTCTGTGTTCTTTTGTTGAAAAGTTACAAGACTAGATCAAGTTCTAGGTGTTCCCTAGCCTGATTATCATTAAAGGCAATGTTATTTTGTTGTTGTTCTTCATTACTTGGCTGGGATGGTGAAGGAGAGCAATACAATTATGGAACTGAAGGGAAAATTCCTCCAAGAGTATTGTCCTATAGGACTTTGTGTGGTGATGGAATTGTTCTTTATCTGTCCTGTTCTATGTGGTGATCACTAGTTACATGAGAGTTGAGCATTCACAACCTCACTAATACAACCAAGGGACTAAAAGTTTAAAACCATATTAGATTGTGTGTGGCACTACTATATCGGACCGTACAGTTTAAGTTCTTAAATATTTTAAAAAGTTATTTATTTTTTTGGGTGGGGAGGTCTTTTTGAGACAGAGTCTCTCTGTAGTCCCACCTGGCCTGGAATTCATTATGCAGACCAGGCTGGCCTTGAACTCACAGAGATCCACCTGTCTCTGCCTCTGCTGGGATTAAAGGCGTGAGCCACCATACCTGGCTATTCATTATTTTTAGTTTATGTGTATGAGTGTATTGCCCGCATGTACGTAAGTGCACCTATGTTGTGCAATGCCTGCAGAGGAGGGCATCGGATGATCCTCTGAAACTGGAGTTACAAACACTTGCTAGCCATCATTTGGGTGCTAGGATTCAAGCCCAGATCCTCTGCAAGAGCAGCCAGTACTCTTAACTGCTGAGCCATCTCTTTAGCCCTGCTAAATATTTTTATTCAGAGGGAATTTCACACATAAGTTCATAAAGTCGTCTTTTAGATTTATAAATAGTCTATATTTTGAAAAATTTCAGCTGTACTTCTGGTCTCCCTACACAGCCTCCATTTCTAGCCAAAATTTGAATAAGGTGAATTAAGTACTGTGACCTTCCTAGTCACCCTGGACTCAGAAACCTGTTCCTCTGTCACTGGCTTTAAAGTCTGCTGCTGTCCTAAGGGTTATATGTGTCTGCCACAACCCACCTTTGGATTCTTGTCAGTCCCCTGTAGGGTACAAATTATCAGTATGGTAGGCCTTTTAAATCTTGAATAGTATTTATGTCTTTGTGTAAGTGTGGGAATGGAGACCAGAGGACAATTTGTGGGTGTTGGTGCTCTCCTACTTCTGAGGATCGAATTTAGGGTGTCAGGTTTGCACAAGTGCCTTTGCCTTTATTTCTCTAGCTCACCTGTGGTGGGCCTTAAAGTGTCTGGGGGCAGGTTTAGTATTGTCCAGAGGTTTCTTTTAAATAGAAGGAAGAGTTTATTTGAGGTTAAATTTAAGTTCCAGGGATAAAAGAGTTCATAATTACAGGGGAGGCATGGTGGCAAAGGTGCCTGGAGCGGAAAGCTGAGGGATCATATCTTCAAGCAGGCACAGGCAGCAGAGCTATTGTCTAGAGTTTTAACTTTTTTTTTTTTTTTTAAAGTTTTGATGCCATTTTTAGAAGTACTTTCCAACAGCAAGAAATTTTTCATCCTAAAAACATTAGGCATCAGCAAATGGACTTAGTCACTAGACCATAAAATCAGTATTACTTCCCTTTAGCATTACAAATACTACATTTTTGCAATTACCATGTTTGGGAATACCAAAAGTGCCTCATGATTCCTTAAATTTCATTCCTTCAGAAATGAAATGACCATGTTTAATGCAGTGCACACTTTAAAAAAAAATTTGTGTGTGGTATATGGTATAAGGAAGTGAAGTGAAGGCCAGAAGTCAGTTCAAGTTGTTTTCCTCTATTGTTCTTCACCTTTTTTTTTTTTTTTTAAATAAAGATAGTCTCTCACTGAGCATGGGGATCACCGAATGGCTAGACTGGCCTGCCCCATGAGCCTTACCTTGCCTAGCGTTTACATGGGCACTAGGGATCTGAACTTGAGTCTTTATACTTGGTTGGTGAGCACTTTATTGACTGAACCATCTCCCCAGACCTAGTGTAAGGCATACTTAGGAGTGAAGTTTCAAATGAACAAACCATGTGTTTGGTTCTTACTTATTTTTATGTCAATTTTATATAAGATCCCAGGTTTTTTTTTTTTTTTTGGTCTTTTTGAGACAGGGTCTCCCTGAAGCCCTAGCTGGCCTGGATTCACTATGGAGACCAAGATGGCCTCGAACTCACAGAGATCTGACTGCCTTTGCCTCCCGAGTGCTGGGATTAAAGGCGTGCGCCACCACGCCCGGCCAAGATCCCACTTTTTAAAAATGTTATTTTTATGTGTATGGATGTACTTCCTGCATATGTGTAAGTACCTGTGTCGTGCAATGCCTGCAGAGTCAGAAGAGGGCATTGGATTTCCCTGGAACTGGAGTTATGGATAGTTGTTAGCTGCCATATGGGTGCTGGGAATCTAACCCCGGTCCTCTGCAAGAGCAATTGGTGCTCTCAACTGCTGAGTCATGTCTCCAGCCCCATAAGTTCCCACTTTTATATGTGTCTTGCCAGATCACACTTACTCTTGAAATTGAATCATTTGGTTCAAGTTTGAGTTTTGTCAATCAAAATCTATGCACCTCTACTGAGGACTGAAGCTCATTTTCTGGGACCACGGGACTACTTAGCTCTGGTGGAAAGTGAAGATCGTAACTGATAAAGCAGTAAGAACCTCTGACAGGAAACTTCAACTACTACAGAATAGTAAATGGCTTTTAATTCCCACACAATGAATCCTCCTTAGTAGTTATTGCTAATTAAACTTCCTAT